TTAAACGCTGAAATTTTCAACTGCATGGTTACGCTTATCTTGCTGACTATTTTAAATATGGCAGATGTTTGGAAAGTCAAATTTGTTGTGTTTCTAAATGCTTTCAGTGGCTGACTTTGATAATGTTGGTTTTGTATTTGGCCAGAAATACAACCACACTTTTACTTCGAATGATAAATCACTCGGGGTAATCAAGAAAAAGTATAGGTTTTTCATTACTAGTCTAACGCATGTGTCAGTTTTTTTGATATTCAACCGAGAAAACAAGTGCAATAACAAGTGTCCATCAAGAGTAGTTGGTACTTCAGATTGGTGCTTATGATTTTTCATGAAGAAAAGGGGGAAAATAAGTAAGAAGTCAAAATTTGAATGAAATTAATATACTGAAGGATGGATATAGGTTTAAGATGATAATAATAAAACTTAATGATCTAATAATTAAATTGATTTATTGCATTAACAATATATTTATTTGTTTATTGTGTTTCAAATGTACGTCAGTCCATTATTTACGTTTTGCCATTTAAATACTTACAACCATATATTTAAACATACGAAAGAATATGCTTTGAAGCGCCTCGTGGACTTTGGTCATATATAAACACATGTTCCCGCTAAATTTTCATTCCACGAGTATTTTTCAACAAGATTGCACAACCCACCCTCCCTCCCTTTAACAAACAAAATTGCTGCTGTTTTTAGTTTATTTTTCAGATTACATGGTGAACAGATCCAAATGTATTGAATGTTCCAATTAGATTGTCATGTATCATCAAAATTGTCAGACGTTTCAATATTCATCGGAAGATCCAATGAAACCTGAATATTCAAAGAATTTGCAGGAATAATTAAAAAGAGAATATCTATCGTCATGGCATTCCGTTCAATATGGAAAGTGCGTTGGATGTCATCATCAACATGATTCAACTGGCAGTGATTTATTCAAATATCGTTCATTAAGCTGTTATGGATCTGCCCAGCAGCTAGAAATTGTTATGCATTTACTGTTGGTTTCCCTTCAGTGACCAATTGTCATCAAGTTTTAACTTGTTGGCCAGTTTGTTGATGTTGGTTGTTTGTTGGTTTATATTGTTGAATATTGTTGAATAAATGCCATGACAAATAATCAGCCAAATTTCAAATTTCAATTGTTTGTTTGTTGTTTATATTATTCTTGCGAAGGAATGAAACAAAACAAATCTGCAGTTGTATATTCATTGCGCACATTGAATATGCAATAATAATCAGAACGAATGATGAATCATTTGGATTTTGGCAGTACAGTAGCAAAACATTATAATACTCGGGGAAATTACGCAATAACGTTTATATCTTGCGCCCATTACCATTACATTTGCGCGTAAAAATCAATACATTTGTCCGCAGATTTTTATTACATTTGCGCGATTTATTTTGTAGGTAAAAACAGGGAGACTAGATGATACACATTCCATTTCTTTACGGTCATAGGTTTACCATAACGGTTTTCAATATCTAAATAAGATATGGTACTCATCAAATTCATTTTTGGACAAACGTTTTCGGTGGTCAGTATATAAAGAATATTTTAGACGTGCTTGGTCAATGTGGCGTTCGTTACAAGAAAGTTAAGACATAGAAACTAGATTTTATACTATTCCCATCCAATCCAAATTAAATAACCTTCATATATACTACTAGTATTTCCTCAGTTCGTTTTTACTTGAGAATATCGAATTTTGATGCATTTGTATATATAAAAATGAGGAAATGCGGTGATTGCTAATGAGACAACTATCCTCCAGAGCTAAAATGAAATGGTATTTAGAAATTATAGGCCACCGTACAGCCTTCAACAATGAAAAAAAAATCGTATAGTCGGCTGTAAAAGGCATATGAAAAATGTGACACAATTGAAACGAGAAAACTAACGGCCTCGTTTATAACGAACTCATCTGCGAAAAAACCATATACATGTATGACAACGACAACCACTGTACTACAGGCTCCTGACTTGGGACAGGCACACAACGAATTTCAAAGGCAGGATAAACTTATGACTGAACTTATATTCGGTAAAATTAGGAAACAGAATACAATATCCGCAATTAGAATAGAGAATGGTAACAAGGAATGTGTCAAAGAGCAGCAACTCGATTATAAAGCAGAACACAGCCCAAGGCCACCAATGGGCCATCAGCGAGAAAAATTTCGCACCTTGAGGCGGACATCAGCTGGCCCCTAAACAATAATTTATTAACAATAATGTATTCTAGTTCAGCGAAATGAATGTCACACTAAAGTCTGAAACTTTTTTTTTTATATTTGCCTGTAAAGATATAAAATATTTAAAAAACCTTGCAGTAAGAGATGAGTAATACAACAAAGAATATATTGACGCAAAATATCTGAAGAATATAAATTGGATTTTCCTTAAAATTGTAAATTTTTCACTGTCTGAACTCCGTGGTACACGGTGTGTTCGATTCAAACGCGTCAACGTCCGGATTCATTTGTATCGGTGTTATACGGGTGGAGTTGAAGACTTGAGAACAATTTCCGATATATTTATTATTTCCGAGGGAAACTCATTAAAACTATTTGATCAGCACTTATTTTTCAAATTGTCTGAGACATTGCTGTTATATACCTTTGATATGAATTTGATAAAAAAAAAAATCTGGCAAAAATTGTACATGCGAGATCACTGACAATGCAATTTTCCATATAATCAATGTTTCCAAGGAGCATAACTCTTTTAAAAATAATTGATCGGCACTGATTTTCGAACTCGTCCAAGACATTGCTGATATAAACCTATGATATAAGTTTCATAAAAATCTGGCAAGAATTGTACACGTGAGAGCGCTAAAAGACCGGAAGGACAGACGGACGGACGGACGCCCGGTATTTCTATGTCCCCGCAACGCGTTGCGCGGGGGACAAAAAGTTACAGGCTGGCCATACAAACAGATTTTCCACATGGATTTTGTACCAGATCTAGAGGTAGAGGTAGCCATTGACTCTTGTAAAAGTAAGAAGATGTGGTATAATTGCCAATAAGATAACTCTCAACCAGATACCAAATGACATAGACATTAACAACTATAGGTCACCTTACGGTCTTCAACAATGAGCAAAACCCATACCGCATAGTCAGCTATAAAAGGCCCCGAAATGACAAATGTAAAACAATTCAAACGAGAAAACTAACTGCCTGATTTATGTACAAAATAATGAACGAACACAATTATGATATACAGCAACAAACGATAACCACTGAATTACGGGCTCCTGACTTGGGACAGGCACATACAGAATGTGGCGGATTAAACTGTTTGAAGTCACCAACCCTTCCCCTAATCTGGGGCAGTGGTGAAACAGCACAACATAAGAACAAATTATATGCATTGTACTACCGATATCCTAGACTGCTCGGAGTCCTTCTGAACAGGAACGGATGGTAGATGTTCCGGTATTTGACAGTCTATCTTGACTCTTGCCAGTAGTCCATATTTAACGATTGTCCATGTTGGCACTTGTACAAAAGATACCGGTTGATATAACATTTATTATGCACCGTATCACAACAACCTTTGACTTCACAAGTGTGGTTGCATATGGTGGGGTAGAGGTACTCGGTATTTCACATACTTCAACTTAATTATTGCTGGCTGACTTTACTCCATGTGGAAAATAGCAACAAAGGCAGAGGCTAGCACGACCTCAAGTATGCACCTTACAACTGATACCATAGACTATCACGAGTCTGGTAGCATAGAGTAGGGTACCCATTATGTCACATTGGCCAACTTCACGATTTTTCACCGGAGGTATTATCTGAGGTAGAGGAAGTAATTGCATCTACAATAAATTTTAACACAATTGAATAGACCTGAACGAGTCAGGCTGCAAAAAGTAGGGGTACCAGTTATGTAACATAACCCAACTGACCTATTTCCGGCTACCAATAATAAGAGATTCTGTAACTGGTCGTAGTACCAGAGGTAGGTATAGCCTCTATCATGCATCGTATTACAATACCCTAGACTTCCATGAGAGTCTGGCTAAGAAGAGTGAGTACCTGGTATGTCACATAGCAGAACAGTACGATTTTTCACTTGCCCCATAGGAACAGAGGTAGAACTAGAAATTGCGACTACAATGCATACTTAACACAGATAGTCTTAACAATTAAAATTAATAGATAAATTAATTACTTTAAGTTGTACTTTATCGACAATTTTTACATAAAAAGCTTAAACTTATGTCACCAAATAAAAATTCAAAAGTAGAGGATACAATTCATGATACGAAATGTACATGCAATTGTGTTTTCAAAAAATTAAGACAGACAGATAGCGTTTACATAAACTATTAATTCCATCGATTAATTAGTTGTTAGAGTATACATTAATTATCCTTCCTTATAAAAATAAATGTGCAGAGAAATATTTTTCATCATTTGTTCATGAATTCCAATATTCTAAAAAAGAAAATATTTCAATGCAGGCTCCTGGTGTAAAACATTCAATTATTATCCAATCCTATTACGTAATTTGTACAGTAAAAAGATTTGTCAAAATAACAACCAGCATAATCTAATACATTTTCAAGACAATAATGCTCAGAATGAAACAAGCTAATATTTAACATGGACTCTTTTTTATTTTGTATCAGTAACTGTCACGTTCAGTCTCCTTGAACTTAATGGTTCTAACACCCCTGCCAGTCCCACTTCCAAAACAAGTTTCTATAGAGTAACGAAGAACAAAAATGGCAGTTTTTATCATCTGACAACCACAGAATAGAATTGGGTAAGGACCTTTCTGCTGTATGTTATGGATGGTTACTCCCAAACTCAATAAAACACTGGTCAACTTTCTGTCATATGTTCTTGAGGATTGATTGCTTTTACTATCAAGCTGTTATAATTATCTATTAAAAATGCTTATAAACGAGATGAGTCTACCATTTCACCCTTAATAAGCACTTAGTTACGTTTAAGAAAAACCATCTTGTTTAACATAGTAAATTTAATTTATTTTATGAAAAGGGACATCCGTTTTTAATGATTCAATACAGATTGCAGAATGTAAATAAGAAGACAGTCACTCATACATACACAATTGCATACTTATAAAAAATGTCTTTACATCACAAACACTTAGTAATCTTGCCATGCATGTCTTTTTCAACTAATCTGTTAATTTGTTCCAAGGAAATTCCAGATTCTTTTGTTGAGGGTTTGTCACTCACCCATAAAATTGGTCACTCACAAATGCACATTTTCGTACTTTAAGTTTAATTAACATCTTAAACACTCGGTAATCTTGCCGTCTCTTTTTCCACTAATCTGTTAATTTGTTCCAAGGTAATTCCAGATTCTTTTGTTGAAAGTTTGTCACTAACACTTGAACTCGGAATAATAGCTTCAGCTGGTCCAAATTTAGAAAACGAACTTGACATTCTCCGTGCCCCTCCTACTCTGCCTCTATGGAACCCGCCTTTCGTTGCGAACGATGGCCTCAACCTACCCAATCGTTTACGGGGCGAAAATGAAAATTTTGTCCTCGGAGTATTCCCTTTTTTGAAAATTTTTCTTACTTCTGCCAGAGATTTTTTCGATGCTAATACTTTAGCATCAGCTGAAGGTCCATCTAGAGTTTTGTTGTTCCTAACTAGTTGTTTAGATTTTGCACCTGATTTCTGTAGTTTTCGGAATACAGTTTGTGCAATTTGTTGTTTATTAATAGACGCGCCTGATCCGCCTGCTGCAGAAGCTTGCTTAATTTCTTGCTGCACGTCCGCTTGAAACTTCCGTAAAGACAATTCTTCCTGAGCTCCCCCTGTTATAGCATTAACTAAAAGACGTGGTACTGATAATGGGACATATTGACCTCCTGTAATATAAGCTAAAGCCATGAAAAAGTCCTTGTATGGAACAATTGGTGGCTCCACGCCAATAACATATAAAGTTACACCTTTCTGAGCCAAATCTCTAGCTATTTGCATAGGATCGTGACCATTTGGAGATCCCTCAGGAAATGACGTGTCTTCAGACGGCACAAGTCCATGAGGAGGTGCATCAGATATCATGACACTTATTTTAGTTGCATCCTGTCGCCATGACAATTTAGTTGCTTGGAACAAAGCGTCTGCTACGGCTTCCGGTCGATCACCCCCTCCTCTAGCACGGGCAGTATTTAGCCAGGATTTCATAGTGGAAACAGAAGACGTGAAGTCATTTTTTCGGGTGACAAAAGTCCTATCTTCTGGTGAATGATCTCTATATTCTATTAATGATAATCGTACATCACTGCCCGATGAAGCAACTATTTCCTCTACAATTTCTCTGATGTTATCCTTTGCACTATTTATATACGAACTCATACTGCCTGTTGTGTCCATTATAAATGCCAGATCTAATTTTCCATTTTGGGGTGATGATGGTTTTATCATGTCAATAATGGACTCTTGTTGTCCATCTGGTTTTATAGGCGTGTCTGGAAGTTTAATATTTTTTCCTTTCAAAGATTTTATTGTTCTAGTGTTGATTCCAGTAATTAACCACACGCATAGAAGCCAAAATAACATACAAAATTGTGTTGCCTTCATCATATTTTCATTTACCTTATAAAATAACTTATACTGTGTGCTAGTCACAAGCTTTTATATGCTCCAAAATCAGTACACTGCTGAGAGAAATGACGTAAATTTACTACTACCTACGTCGTATTTTAAGAAAATCACCATGTATATATAATAAAAAGTTTATAAACATGTCGTAAATTCATCACATTTTGACGCAATGACAATGTACAGGTGAATTTTGAATATTTTACAAATATCAACGTTATTAAAACCAAACATCGGATCTGAATTTATTGACGTGTTATGGTGGCTATTGCACACCCCCAAAAAACTTTTTAATTATTAATACTTCATTCTTCATGTATTTACCACTCCTTTTATATTGTTTTTTACCACTATCAAATATCATAATCAAAATAAGTAAACATTGAAAAAAGTAATTGTTAAAAGAAACACAATTATCGAAAGCATTGCATGATAAAATTTTCCTCGTATGCTATTTCTTGTACTTAAATAATCTCATTTCCAGTTTTCGAAATATTCCAAGGAGGCTTAAAAATGTATTGAGGTCTGAAAATTTAATCCGAGACTTTATGTAAGTGTTGCTTGCAAAATTAAAACGAAGTTAACTTATCTTTAAAATATGGTAAAATGAAAAATATATTTTAAAAATTTGGATTCGGACATTATCATAATTTTAATTACAAAAAGTGTAATAAAATTCTATGGAGGTTTAGCAAAGTTATTAATGTCTAAAAAACTTTAATCCCAGACTAAATCTAAATATTAACTGCAAAATAAATAATAAGTCCTTTTATCAGTAAAACACGGGGAAATTCTTTTTTTAAATTTTGCTGTAGATATTGTCTTTTTTACCATAAAACAGATTATGTCCCAGTTTCACTTAATTCCATGACGGTTTGACAAAGTTATTGATGTCTGAAATAATTAAATACCAGATTTTACCTTAATATTAACTGCAAAAAAGTTCATTTATAAATAAATATATGAAAAATAAAAAAATAATAGATTTAACTCTGGATAATGTATTTTGATCATACAAAAAGCTTCTGCCCGTATTTCATAAATTCCATGAGAGTTTGACGAAGATATTGATGTCTAAAAAGAAACTTTCAAAACAGACTGAATCTACATGTTAACAACACCGACGGCACTGAAGACGCCGAAATACAGGATCGCTATGTCTTGCATCTGCGACAAAATACCGAAAATGTATCCAACGTAAGGAGAAATATATATGAATTCGACATTTAAAAAAAAAATAATCGTCGTTAGGAACTTACAGTCTATGTGATATAAACAAATCAAACCTTTTCAATCGTACTTTCAAAATCAGTACCTACAGCGAGCTTTCCAAACACACGCACACAGGCTTTTGTTCTTTTTCAATGTATCTATCTATAAATGAAATGAAATACCACAAATAAATATCTAGACGTCTTCAAAGATAGTTAAGGGTCAATATGAAAAAAAAAGGAGATGTGGTATGATTGCCAATGAGACAACTATCCACCAAAGTTCAAATAAATAGTGGATGTAAGCAATTATAGGCAACCGTACGGCCTTCAACAATGAGAAAAACCCATACCGTATGGTCGGCTATAAAAGAGACCCCGACATGAATAATATGAAACATTTGAATTGAGAAAACTAACGACATAATTTATAACAAAACAATTTACGAAAAACAAATATGACAGACATGAACCAACGACAACCACTGAACTACAGGCTCCTGACTTGGGACAGGCACATAAAAAAATGTGGCGGGGTTAAACATGTTTGTGAGTGCGCAACCAGCCCCCTAGTCTGTGACAGTGGTGTAACAATACAACATAAGAACAAACTATACAAATCAGTTGAAAAAATCTTAGCTCATCAGATGGTTACAAATAGAAATACATCTAACAAAAACACAGAGTGGACGTGGACGGGTACTTTTACATCCCAAAAACAAAAAGGACACTAAGTACAGATCTGAGAGTACTCGCAGTTACTGACAGCTAGTTCAAAGCCAATAATAATTAATGAAAAAAATCATGTACCTAAGACTAAAATATCAATCAGTACACATCCAACATCCAATGGATTTTTTGTAAAGACGTCATTAACAGTCAGAGAAAAACATGACCTTGTGCAATGCCAAACTATAGGTATCGACAGATTGTAGAACCGTGAAAGTACATATGTGTAATATTTAGTATGGTTTTAATTTACTGATAACAAAATCAATATTTATACCAATAAAAACAATATTCAAAGATTTAATTACAGTGTTGAATAAGTAACCTTTTAGAATAAGTTTATTAAAAGGATTGATAAGTTTACCCGGATCGTATCTAAATTTCCGGGCTCGGTAAACAAAATCACCGTAAAATTTAGGATGTGCTATTCAATTAGTTCAGTAAAGCACTAAGCTCACATTGGCATTTAACCAGACGCTAAAAATCCAAATTACCAACAACCACTAAACTAAATATAACCGTATCAAAAGTGCACTAAGTTACTTAAATAAAAGTAATTTAACTGCTTTAAATGTGTAATGACAACAGTATCAGTATAGATTTTCAATATTTTGAAACTAATATCCATTGCATTTAACCAGAACACTACCTGTAGTCTTCTGAACCGAACCCTCAAAAATCCTAGATTGTGTAGTGTTAAGTAGACTGTTGTTTGTCTTTTCGTGTTTTTGTCTTGTCGTTTTTTACCTTGATTTTGTCGATCTCTCCTCATTTTGTGAGTTATTGTTCTTGCTTGGTATCTTCCGCCTCTTTTTTTCTCTGTTATATCTTTTTGCCAGGTCATCAAATGTTCCGTATGGAGCAATTCTTGTAAATCCAGATCAAATGCATCAATTACATATTTTTTTTAGATCAACAAAATTTTTAATAAGACATACAAAACCGTCATCTACAAAGAATGGATCTTTTTGCCTAGAATTAAACGTTCGGGATTCGTGCATTTAAGGATTGAGTCGCTTTTGCAAAATTTGCAACAAAATGATCATAATTATTTATGCTTTACTTGATGCAAACTATATTATATATAGAATTTAAAGTGTTATATAAGTTTGAATGATAAGATTTTTTTTTAATCGAATATTTGTTTCCCTACTGAAATACTTATATACTATATAGAAATAAGAAGATGTGGTATAAGTGCCAATGGACAACTCTCCATCCAAGTCACAATGTGTAAAAAGTAAACAATTATAGGTCAAAGTACGGCCTTCAGCACGGAGCCTTGGCTCACACCGAGCCGCAAGCTATAAAGGGCCCCAAAATGACTAGTGTAAAACAAGTCAAACAGGAAAACAAACGGTCTAATCTATATAAAAAAACGAGCAACGAGAAACACTAGCATGTTTTCAAGAGCAGATTGTACATCCCTCATGCAAAGCTCTGATTCCTTTACCGGATTTAGCTAAATGTTTGGTTCGTATCGGCTATATCTGCCCTTTAACGTTTGTATTTAAAAAAAAAAGGATTCTTTTTAACATTTTGGCCTCCCGCATCACTGAAGAGACACGAATTGTCCATATGAGCATCTGGCGCAGTAAAATTGGTACCGTTTATTGTTATAACTATATGTTCGCTTAACAATATCCTTTGTGCTAACTTGCACGTATCATTATCTTTGATGTATGAAATTATCTATTGTGACCAATCTTAAGGTTGATTTGGTATAGAAATGTTGTCACCTGGAACTCATTCCGCAGTAAAACCATCCATGCACAATTACGAGGGGCGTCCGTTGGCTGTGCGGGATGTATAATTAAGCAGTCACGGCCAGTTTGAATGTGGACGTTTCTATTGATGCATCGTGAAGGGAAAGTACCAAATTCGGCATACTGTTATATCTTATTTTTTGCTGTTGTAAAATAGCTAATCAACATGATTTTAGAAATATCAGAATGCACACGGTCCTACCTAAGCACAGAACATTCAGCAATCAATACAGATGATGGATTTCTTGTAGCTGACGATCCCAGTACTGGTAAACTATTTAGACAAAAATTACCTAAAGTATTCGCCGGTATCTAGAATAAAGTTTGTAATTGTTATCCCTGTAGAACAATCATTATGGATAAGAAAGGTAAACATATAACATAAAGGTAAAATGCTTATCATATGTTACAAAACTTATCAGAATTAGTTTGCAGAATTAGTTTGCAAAGAATTCCTCTCAAGCCGTTCCTATGGGCCGTCTTAGGCTTGTAATGAGGTGAGATTTGTTTTGCTCCGGGTAAAAAGGGTGATGGTTTGGTACCATTAAAACGTTTAAACCCGCTGCATTTGTTTGCACCTGTCCTAAGTCAGGAATCTGATGTTCAGTAGTTGTCGTTTGTTGATGTGGTTCATAAGTGTTTCTCGTTTCTCGTTTTTTATATAGATTAGACCGTTGGTTTTCCCGTTTGAATGGTTTTACACTAGTAATTTTCTGGGGCCCTTTATAGCTTACTGTTCGGTGTGAGCCAAGGCTCCGTGTTGAAGACCGTACTGTGACCTATAATGGTTTACTTTTATAAATTTTGACTTGGATGGAGAGTTGTCTCATTGGCACTCATACCACATCTTCTTATATCTATGGAGGTCTCACTCAGATTTTGAGATTAAGCAATCAACGCGCTGTTCCTTTGCTTTTTATGTGTTTTTGCTGTGCATGCTTATATTTTGTATCATAGATGGATACTCCGTATCCTTAGCTTTTCTATTATCACATTTCACTTAAAATATAATGAAATAAGAAAGAGAAAATCTAACCAACTTTATATTTTAAAAATCTTAAGATATAAATATATATATATATATATATATATATATATTTGGCAATCCGTTTATTTGCCAATGGCAGTCAACAGGGTTTAAGAACATTTGTTGTTCGACCTGTTAGTCAAATGCGTTTTGTTAAAATATACTTATTCACTTTTTTTGGTCTCTCGGAAAATGTTCTTTGTGCTGTATTTAGACCCAAGAAATTTGTTTTGCATGCACACGTATAAACATTGTGGTTTTTATCCAACGCAATCATAGGTTTGAATGTTGTTTTCAATTTAGACTTAAAATAAAATTGAGAATGGAAATGGAAATGGGGAATA